AGATTAGCCTTTCATCAAATGTTACAGTAATGTTATTTCCATTAGCCTCTACTTAACATAGTTTTAGTCATAACAGACTTTTTTTTGAAGTGTCGGTAGTAGTTGTAAAGGAATAAATGAATGTCTTCAAAGCAAGAGGGCGTTTCAAGAAGAGATCAAAGTTTTGTGACCTCGTAATTTCCCTTGAAAGAAATCTAATTGAGACGTGTCAGCTGCAAAAAAAAAACAAAACAAAATGAGGACCTTCTTGGTCTTCTGTTTCAGATTAAACAACTCATCTGAAAAGGCTGAAAGTCAAAGCACAGAGGAATTTAGAAAGAAGCTGGACGAGGTTTAGTTTTAATTAACTGGTATTTTAGCTAAAGTTATCAGGGACAGAAATATTTGCACCAACGTAAGTTGAGTCAAACACAATGATTGGAAAAAAACAATGAAGTAAAGCGCTAATGACAATGTACATGTGCTTGTGTCTTCATGTGACGGGTTCAGTTTGTGGTGGTTAATAAATTATGAAGTGAATATCAAGAGCCACTTTTTTCCTGTTAGTCTTTGGTTTCTGGTCTAAATTGTGTTGTAGCTTTCAGCACCTGTTTTTTTTTTATTTTTATTTATTTTTATTGTGTTTTTTTTTTTTTTTGCACCAGAGCATGTTAGGTCAAGGAACAAGAAGTCAAAACATCCATTAATTTTAGTAATGGCTGTAAACACAAAAGAACTGCTGGCATTGATGGCTAAAAACTTTGCAGTTTTTCAACTATTTAGACAGCGTGTTTACTTTCACTGGACAGATAAATATATATTACATAACATGTCTTTCATATTTTTGAACCTTTTTTTGAGTAGTGTAGTAGGGTTGAGTAATAGTTTTTCTCTTTGTAGTAGTTTTTCTCTCCTTAAGCTCTCTCATGAAGTGACAATATATAATATACCCTTCAAAGTTCATTTCAAAGAAAATGAAAAAAGTTGGATTGTTAAAGAAATACGAAACAGTATATACTAATTATTGCTTTCTCCTTAGGTAAACAGTCTTCGTCTGCAGCTTCAGGCGCATCGACACGAGAAACTGCCCCCAACCTGAAAGACTCCTCGCAGCCTTCCATCACAGGAGCACTCAGCCTTGCTTCTAGTGCAGCCTCTGGTCAGCCCAGCGTCACCACAACTACCAGCGGATCTACCAGTGCCTCTTCACCCGTCTCCACAACATCCCCGGCGCCGACGGCTGTAAAGAAACAGCGCCCACTGCTGCCTAAAGAGACCGCCCAGGCCGTGCAGCGCGCGGTCGTCTGGAGTCCGACTAAGTTTCAGACGTCGTCCCAGAAGTGGCACATGCAGAAGGTTCAGAGGCAGCAGCAGCACGGGGAGCAGCCAGCTACGCAGACGCCGGCCCAGGCGCAGACACGCAGCCCGCAGCAGCCGCAGACACAGCAACAAAACTCCTCCTCCAGCACTCGCTACCAAACCAGACAAGCAGTCAAAGGTAAATACACCCCCTGCTTATTTGGCTCGATGTCACGTTGAAAACGAAACGCTTGATTTGAAGCTGTGTGTCCATCGTTGTGTGCAGTGCAACAGAAGGACTCGCCTCAGAGTGCGTCCTCGTCAACAGCTGGACAGGCCACATCTGCAAGCTCCTCTTTCGTGTCAGGGGACTTGCAGATCCCGACAGTCTCAGCAGATGTAGCAGCAGATATTGCCAAATACACAAACAAAGTAGGTGGAAAACCCAACCCTGGTAAATTTAGATTACACAAGTTATATTCTTGAATATACTTAGCATTGTGAGAATATTGGAACTATAAATAAGAGATACAAGAATGTATGTCACAATGAAAATGTCACGATTTTTCTCCCCACTTATTTTTTCAGATCATGGACACAATAAAAGGGACAATGACTGAAATCTACAATGATCTTTCTAAAAGCACATCAGGAAACACAATTGCAGAGGTAAAGCCTGGAATTCAAATGCACTCTTATTAATTTGTACCTTCTTAGAAGGTAGGAACATCAATTTGAATAAAGTTTAAACGGATGTTAATCATGATGGGCTTATTGGGTTTTAATATGGGTAAATACAACCTCAGATAAACATGTTTTATTACATTTCAACAGTAAGTTCACCCTGAGGTCAAACTCAAAATGCATAAAATCAAAAAGCAGAATTTATTTTATACTCTTCTTGTCTCAGTTAGCACATTCAGTGCTTATGTTTATAGGAACTGGGGGTTGTTTTAAGGAAGTAAGTGAAAATGTGTCCTCACAAGTTAGGTTTGCAAAGTTGAGTCTGACAGAATGAGACTTTTTGAGCAGTTTCCTTTAGACAAGATCAGGTTAGATATGTTTAACCACAGCACAGTGCATATCAAACACATTATACCAGCTGCGATGCACTGTTAATTTTCCCATGAACTTCTCTGTACACTAATGTATTCTAGAGCCACATGAAAGGTAACAAGCCACAACAGAACAGCTAAAAGAACAAAGTGTTTCAGTGCAGTCAAGCCAAATAAATCCTAGTGTAGTTACATTCACTTTTTTTCTTTGTTAGCTCATGAGGTGGTGTTGATCCAAGGTTTTGATCCTTTGAGAACCAAATTATTTTTATGATGTTTCCAGTATTGTCTTTTTACCTTTTTTATTATTACCTGAGTCTGTATTTAATTATTTTTTTCCCACAGATTCGAAGACTGAGGATAGAAATTGAAAAGCTCCAGTGGCTGCATCAACAAGAGTTATCGGAGATGAAGCACAACTTGGGTAAGCTTTCTGCATCCAGAAGTGTAATAACACTTTGATTTCAAAAATATAATGTCTGCATGCACATGGTTTATTTATTTATTTATTTATTTTTTGCAAATGCAGAGTTGACAATGGCAGAAATGAGACAGAGTCTGGAGCAGGAAAAAGAACGTTTGGTGGCCGAGATGAAGAAGCAGATGGAGTTGGAAAAGCAACAGGCGGTGGATGAGACCAAAAAGAAACAGTGGTGCGCAAACTGCAGGAAGGAGGCCATCTTCTACTGCTGCTGGAACACAAGTTACTGTGATTACCCCTGCCAGCAAGCCCACTGGCCTGAACACATGAAGTCCTGCACACAGTCGGGTAACAAAGACTATTGTAGTCATTGTCTCTCTTAGGTACATTTAGCTTTGGAGGTTGTTTTGTAAATGTAGATTTTATGTGTGACACTAGTCTGTGACACTATAACAAACTGGTTTAAAGGATGATAAAACAGATGTTTCCTGCTGCTATTTGTATATTGGATGGAGTATAATTAAGTTATAATCTGCATTGATTGATGGGAATTCCAGCTATTTTTAGAGAGTCTGTTTTGGATTGGCTCGCTGTAAGGAGCCAGATCATTGTTGACCAACCCGTCACTCATCTGCATAATTAAGATAGGTGCTTATATTCAAAAGAAAGTAAAACTTCATTTTAACTTCAAATTTCTGAGTTCCCTTAGTCCTGCTTGTCGATATCAGTACATGTATAATGTGCATGTTCTCATGTAATATTTTCTTCTTTCTGCTAGCCACGGCGTCGCAGCAGGAACCAGAGGCAGAGCCCAACTCCGAGCCTTCTGTCAAACCATCAGGCCACTCTCCTGCCACACAATCACTTCCTTCTTGCGCAGGATCGATATCAGACAGAAACAACTCTCCCACATACATGGACAAAAGCAAGGACAGTGCTGGTGTTACTGTGACCTAACTACTACACTACAGACTCATTTTGTGCAGCCAGTGTGGGGCGATGAGCCTCGAACTTGGTGCTTGAAGGCCTGCACCTTCGTGACAAATCACTTTTTTTTCCCCCATTCCTATTTGTATATCTGCTTGATGGACGGTTTATGGTTTTCTTTCTCATTCTCGGTTTCCACATCTGTGTTTTAAGTCAGTTCATCATGTGAAAGAAGTGTGTCTTGAGAAATAAAAAGTGACTCTTTGTTTTCATACTGTAGTTTTGTGTTCTATGTTAGCTCTGTTACCACGTTCTTTTTCATCTCCAAGCAAGATTGTATGAACTCACAGGATATTTTCTACATCGTCTCTTTTCAATGCTGCTCTAAAAAATTTTTTTGCTGCTGGTTGATTTTGTTGATTGTTCTCCATATTGTGAGACGAGATATTTGAAACAGCCTTTCAAAACTAATCCACATTTAGCATGGTGCCATCACAGACATTTTGACTCATTCAAGTTTCGTCTTTGGCTTCAACCACATTTGCATCATGACGGCCAAAGTGTTTTGGGTAATACAGGTTTAAAGATCGCATTTCAATCCATCATGACTGTCTTATGTTAGTGGTGGTATTTGTTTCATACCAGTTTTGTATTGTAGTTCTATGTTGTATAGTCACATAAAAATATGGTTTATTCAAAAGACTAAAAAATTTTAAATGTACATAGTTTTTGTAAGAAGATACCTGAACAATATTTATAGTGTCATATGTTTTTATAGTATGTTTATTGCAATCACATTTCTATGTGTTTGAAAAATAATTATTTGAAACTCTTCACATGAATGTCAGCTCTGAGTGAAGTCTTCGTGTAGCCGGTACCCCAAAGCTGATGTAAATCCAGGTCAAACTGTGTCCCAAGAACTGGTTAGAAAGAAATATTACACTGCTTTTTGGCCATATATATTTTCTGTGTGCATGTTAGTGTTGAGCTTGTGTCTTGTTCTTGTTTACATATTGTATATATTATAAATGGACTTGTGAAGAAAAAAATAAAAATTGACTTGTAACTTTGTTGGTAAAGTTTATTGTGTCCCCTGAATATGTCAAAAAAAACGAAATCACCTTTATATCTATAAAAGAACTATTTTTTGCTATGCTATATGCATTTAGAATTTAATAAAGTGTCAGAGGCTCATGCACACAAAATAAGAGCAGCTCTGCTGTGTGTCGACGAACAAAACCATGTTGCTTTCCTAATTTGAACAGCTCTCGCGAGAGTTCGAGCAAATAGGCATATTTCCACTTCTAGCTCTCGCGATATTTCACTGCGTAAGCGAAGAAAATGGACGGCTGGTAGCATGGTAGCTGAATAAATCTAACAAAAACACAATATACATCGAAGGTATGGTATGTATGACTGAACTTAGTTTGTCAGTCGGCATAGGACACAACTTGCGTTAATAAGTATTGTTTATTATTAAGCTAATTGCAACGCTTAGCTAACCTAACGATATTGATGACAACAATCCTCGACTGCTTAGCCCGCTAGCTAGCAGAGTGCTGTGGTTTTACAGACTAATGCAGTTTGTTATTTAAATGAAGAACGCCTGGTGTTTCGTTTCTGATTTGCTAAATTAACAAGTTTCACTTTAAAAAGCCATGTTGTTTATTACCGTCGTGGTATTGCTTCTATTCACGATGTGTCCTTCACCAAATTGTAGCCTGTTCGCACAGCCTTAACCTAATTAACAAAACAACGTCAGTCGAAATTAGCTGCAACTTTCAGTAGCTGAGTATTCATTAATTTAGCCAAACGCCGACGTTCTGATGTAAAATATCATCCACACTTTTAAAGTAAAAAAGTCAAACAAACATGCATACGTAAATAATTTTATTAAAATTAATTTGGCGATTTCCCTCTACATTCTTTACAATTTGCAGTGCTGATTTTTTTAAATGACAGTAGTAGTACTACAGTTTGAAAAATACATTTAAAAAGAAAAGCAAAAATTTGTGTTAAAGTATTTACAGAGTTCCAAAGTACACACTAAACAAATGTGTCATAATTTAAAGACGTAGAAGTCTTTAAAAGTTGTTTAATCTTAGTAACTGGGTAAATTTCATGATTGTGTACGTTTTTCATCACATGCCATGTAAAGGTTTCACGTTACAGCGTTTACAAACGCATCTGAAACATGAACTGCTGCTGCCTTTAACAAAGAGCTTGTATAAAGCCAAAACCTACCTTGGATTTTTAAGTCTACTAAAAAAGTCCTGAAATGTGAAAACAACAGAATATTTTTAAGCTTAAGATTTAAAAATTTGAGCTGTAAGGGACAGTGTTTGGCTTTGAAATAAACAAAACTGAACTATCTTTAGTTTGTCATTTAATATTGTTTGACGTATTTTTCTCCCAAATATTTTCACAGGTCTAAAGAGTAACAATCAGAACGACCATTTGCACATCCTGAAAACGTTTGACTTTAGAAAACCACAGGTAATATTTCATTTTCTGCATTCAGCCCTCATTTAACCTAATAGTGTTTATTATATTTAGATTGTTTAATAACTAAAGTTGTCTTTGTTTTGACAGTGTTGCTGCTCATGGATGTCGATATAGACCCAACAGAGGGTACTAGTTCAGTTAACAATGACGATAACTCAGGTGAAACAGGTTTGTAAGTTTTCTAAACTGCTTTTGAAAGAACGAGATTTTGCTTCTGTTAGTTTCTGACTGTTTGCCTGTTTTTACAGAGGAACAGCAGAACCAAGCAGAACGGACCGAGTCAGGCTCTAAACCCACCATGTCGCAGGTTAGGAAGTCCTGGGGCTTCAGACGGACGACGATTGCTCGAAGGGAGTTCATAGAGGAAGTTGGAGAGCTAAACCACGGTCCTCCAATTGTTCGAAGAGGCAGAGGTCGAAGAAGCAGCCAGACACTAGACATGCCCGCAGAAACCCAGACCACTAGGAAATCTACTCGAACAGCTAAGAGTGTTTTAGAGGATCTCCAATGGTCTGCTCCCTCCTCTCCTGTGTCCGAGGATAGCAAGCCAGCCTCAGAGGCTTCCACGGGTGCGGTCTTTGATCCTAGCTTATGGCAGGATTTTGGATCTGCCTTCCACACCGCCTTCTCTCTTCTTGGGGGGGATGAAGGTCTCTCAATGACAGATGCACTATCAGTTCCTGACTCTTTAGAAGCCACTGCTCCACAAACTGTAAGCGAAACAGAGATCCTTGATACGATAGATGACACAGAGATTACACAGCCAGCTGCTGCTTTGGAAAATATGGCTGAAGAGGAGAGCAGCGAAGTGGTTCTCATCTCGAGTCCAGACGAGGACAGCGAAGAAATGCCTCTGTTACATATTAAGGAGCAGCTTCCCTCTAGTGGCATGCAGGCAAATCTAAAGATTCAAGGTGGGAAAGGTGGAAGAGGAAAGGCCAGAGGAAGGGGACGAGGCAGAGGAAGAGGTAGAGGAAAGGCGAAAGGTAGAGGAAGAGGTAGGGGCAGGGCAGCGGCGCTTCAGTCAAATATAGCAGATTATGACAGCGATGACGAGGCGATGCTTGTTAATCCAGAGGTGCAGCAATGTTTGCAAGAGGAGGAAAAGCAAATTGATCCAAACATCCCCGCAGAAACAGAAATTTCACCTGCCCACTTAGATATTTCTCTGAATAGTTCTCAGCAGTCAGACTGTATCATTTTAGCCGGTGATTTTAACCAGAGTATTGCTGTAACTCGTGGGCAGTTTGATGATGCACCACATGAGATGGAAGGAGTGGAGGAGACGAAAGATGTCGAAATTACAGGAGAGCATCCAAGCATATCTGCCACTGAAGAATACGAGTCGAATATCCTGTGCTGCATATGCCACCTGACTCAAAATAAGAGGTACATTATCATTTCTGAGAACACTGTTGAGCAGAGACGTTTGCATATCTGGACTATATCTCAGTTTCACTCGCCGCTTCTTTCAGGTTCATGGTTTGCTGCGACAGTTGCCACCAGTGGTTCCACGGTGACTGCGTCGGTATCAGTGAGACACAAGCCTGGATCGAAAGGAAGGAGCAAGAGTACACGTGTCCGACCTGTACTTCAGACAAGCAGAGCCACATGCAGTTTGAGTCTCTCCTCCTGCCAGACCCAGACCTCCTCTTTCCTGAATGTTTGTTACTAAATCCTCCTGAGGTAGAGTTGGTGCAGCTGGAGGAGCAGCAAATTCTCAAGGTTTGGATTTATTTTAGATTGTTTCTGATGCCCAGATGGCTTGCAGAATGTAGTTACGAGAAAATGAGAAAAGTTGTTCAATTTGATTTAGTACATTAGAGATAGACGATCCTGGTCCTCGAGTACCGCTGTCCTGCATGTTTTACTTGTTTCTCTGCTCCATTACACCTGAGTCAGAGATTGAATTACCTCTTCCAAGATCTTCAGATGCCTGTTAATCACCATTCATTCATATCAGGTGTGTTGAAGCAGAGGACTAAGTAAAACATGCAGGATAGTGGCACTTGAGGACCAGGGTTGCCTACCCCTGGGCTATGTTCACACTGAAGGCAAATGTGACCCAAGTACCCAAATCAGATTTTGTTTTTAATTTTATTTTTTTACATTCTTGGCTCAATGTGACCCATATCAAATTTTTTAAATTCTTTTTAAAGTGGGGGGTATTATGTATTTTCAAGGCACATAGTTCAGTTAGGGCTGGGCGATATTAGCCTGTTAAAAATCAGCCTCTTTTTCTACGCTTTGCTTTGTACAGAGGGTCTGGACCCTCAGCTATTAAGAAGCGATTGCTTGCTGAAGGATTGGACTCTGTTGAAGTTTAAAACGAGTGGTTCTGTGAAGGAGGCTAAGCTAAGAAGCTAACCGGAAATTGCATGCGCTGTAAACAACCATACTAGGTAGAGAGAAGTAACCGAGCCAAACAAAGTGGTTGTAAACGAAAGCCGCAGGCTTTGTGAGACAACTTTAAATTAATTTTGAAGCCTTGTCAACACGGACTGGCTTCTTTTCACTCCCTCTGCTGCTGTTGCTAAACTACAGGCAGACTAAAACGGTGCAGAAAATCAATGTCATTGTTCACAACTCTTTCTTCTGTTCGCTGATCAGCCCGGTTGAATTTCTACCAGAAAAATTTTTATCTATGGGAGAAATTCCAGACAGAGCAGTGAAGGGAAACTAGAATTGAACGGAACTGCGTGAAAGAAGTGTGTCTTGAGAAAGGCTAGGGCGATATGGCTAGAAAATGTATCACAATAGGAGCGTTTCATATCAGTCTATCAATAATTAATTAGTTTTCTGTTTTACCTATTTAAAAAGGACCAGGAGAAAAATGGCTGATGATGATGATGTGACTTTTTCTCCTTTATCCACAATTTCTCTTGAGCTGTTGCACTCATTTTCTCCTTTCACACCATCTTTCTTTTTTTTATAACAGTTGTGATGCACAGCGGCGAAACATGAAACTGCAGCTGCATGTTACTCAGGTTGTTGCTAGTTTACCAAAGAATGAGCGAGTTTGATCGCACCAACCTTGCTTAGCTGGGCCTTAGCTGCTGGTTAGCTTCAGAAGCTATTTGTTGTTTCAGGTTTCAAACTTGCAATTTTCCCCCTCTGTAAATTTCCTAAATTTTGTGCGCAGCGAGGTGTTGACCGTAGTTATTTTATGATGCCAGAGGAAGACATGTATGTCTTGGATAGAGGAGGTGGGTAGTGATTTTATTATTGTGTGTTATCGTCACAATGCTGTTCCGGTCTGTCCGTAATTTTTATCTCCCTGCACAAATTTCGTAAATTATCGATGTTCTATCAAACATATTTTCTGTTGATACGATCACTTGTCTATCGTGAGATGTATCGTTATCGTTTTATTGCCAAGATCAGTACTATACCACAGTCACGTAACTGTTACCTACAATTGTAGGGATGCACGATAACTTGTTTTAAGAGCTGATACCGATAACTTTCTCTTTTTAATGGCCGATAAACTATAACATGCCAGGAGATAAGACCAGTCAAAAATGTGTAAGATCATAACACAAATAAACAAGGCCAAAACCAAATGACACTGTAAATTATACTATTTGATATGAATAAACTCTTCGCGAACAAACATTACTTAAAATATATCAAACAAAACAATTTCTCAAATGGCCATTTTTTTAAATAAGGCACATTAATTATTTAAAAAAAGACCTTTAACACTGATCTCAGATTTAAACAAAAGAGAAAAATTCATTCCACAAGTTCAAAACAGATAACGCACTAACACAAGTTAGATTCAAAATACATTTGTTTTTATTATTATTAATATGTGATTTAAAACATTTTTCTACCTGAAACAGTGCTTCTGAAAGTGTGAATGCATTATGACTGCATCATACTTACAGGAAGACACACAGGTAGCAGCAGCTCGGCATGGTAAACCGTGGTTAACAGAGATAATGGCTTCGGTCTTTAGCGAGGGTGAATGGCTGGTTGTCAAGCTCCATCATTTCCATCGTTAAAGTGTTTAAGATTTGCATCCACTCTGGCAATTTTTTTGGGGGGGGATTTGTCAAAAGCCTCAGCAGTGATTTAAGTCCCAATGAATTCTTACCAGCTTGTTGTTAGCATTTTTAGCAGCGCAGACTTTGTGCTGCATTCAGGAGGTAACGAACATTACATGTTCTCAACACACACCCGCACTGGCAAACATGAACATATATTACCGGTTCTGTTTGTTATGATATCGATAAGTATGACATCATAATTCCCTGATATCAGGCCGATAACTATCATGCACCCCTATTCAGTTATTATGAAATTAGGGTTGGGCTTAATCGTATCGTGTGCAATTAATCGTCAGAAAAACATTAATCGATTATTTTTTGGCACTTGACGATTGATACGATTAATGCCACCATCAGTCTGCTCGGTGCTCCTCTCCGCTTCAAATATGACAAACATTAAAAAGAAAAGGTTCTGTAATTTATTTATCTATCAACACAATTTAAAAATTGATGTAAAGCCTGAAGTCTGTAATTTTGACACAGTTTGGAACAGATTTTTACGAGGAGCGAATCTTTCCCACTAAATTGGTTGTGTGACTAGGACATGCAGTGGTCCACGTACTCCAGGGGATTAATTGTCAAATTAATCGTTATCGGCTGAATACCACAATTATTCGTGATTATTATTTCTTTTTCCAATATTGCCCAATCCTATATGAAATGTATATAAATTTGATCTAAACGCCTTGAAATTGGCCTCTTTCTTTAAGAACCTTTTACTGTTTCTGACACTGCCACTTCAGTATGTTTTCAAGCAGTGCATCGTAGCCAACTGTCTAATTTTTTTTGGTTTACTCTCAGAAAACAGTTTCCTGGAAGCGGAGCTCTCAGTCATGTTAACGTTAGCTAAAGCGTTATGTGCCATCATATTTAATCACTGAATTATAGTAATATTCCATCCTGTCTCGTTGTCTTCCATTTTTTGGAGGGCGTTGAAGCCTTATTGGAACTTTTGGACCGCCACATCCAACAAGATTTCAAACAGGAATGTTAATTGTTTTACTTTTATGCACTTGAATGTCACTTTTACAATAGTTATTCTTTAGTTAATTTTGGACTTGCAGCCGGGCAGGTTAACAACCCCTCATGCTGGAGGGGAGGCTGCCATGTCAAGTTATTTGTATTTTAGCTGTAGGGTTGGGCATAATCGTATCGTGTGCAATTAATCGTCAGAAAAACAATCGATTATTTTTTGGCACTTGACGATTAAAACGATTAACGCCACCAGGCAGACTGGAGATTTCTCCGGTCAGTCTGCTCGATGCTCCTCTCCATTTTAAATATGATGAACATTTTTGAAAAAAGTGCTGTAATTTATTTATCATAGCTCTGGTTTTACATGGTCTCTCAACAAAATTTAAAATTTGATGTATAACATGAAGTCTGTCATTTTGACACAGTTTGGCACAGATTTTTACAGAGACCAAATATTTCCCACTAAATTGTTCATGTGACTAGGACATGAGGGTGTCCAGGGACTCCAGGGGAGTAATCGTCAAATTAAAATTAATCGTTATTGGCTAAATATCACAATTAATCGTGATTAATTTTTTTGCCCATATTGCCCAACCCTAATTAGCTGTTTGTTCAAAACATTGCTTGCACATTAATTTGTATTAGAGCTGGAGGATATGGTTGAAAGGTTTATCTAGATATAAGCATTTCATATAGGTCGATATCTAACTATTGACAATTGCTGATTAATCATTTAGTGTTGGACAACATCAATCTGACTTTTGGTGTGTGTGTGTGTGTGTGTGTGTGTGTGTGTGTGTGTGTGTGTGTGTGTGTGTGTGTTATTAAAGAGCAGCCAGCTCGCTGTGTGCACGCTCCTCCCTTTGCAAAAGGAGTGTGTGAGAAATTCAACACTTGTGCCAGCGTCTGCCTGGAGCTAATATCTGTGTCTTTGTGTGTGTGTGTGTGTGTGTGTGTGTGTGTGTGTGTGTGTGTGTGTGTGTGTGNTGTGTGTGTGTGTGTGTGTGTGTGTGTGCGCGCTGTGTATATACCGTAGCCAAACTGGCAATGTGACTTTTCTTCTTTTATCCACAATCTCCTCTTGACCTGGACTTGTTTTCTCCTTTCACTCCATGTCTTTTTTATCATTTATTTTCAAGCAGCCATGATGTGTGGTGGAGAAACATGAAGCTGCTTCTTCACGTTACTCCACAGATTTTTAGCTAGCTCACCTTGTTTAATAATAGGCTTTTAGCTGTTGGGCCATCATATTGACACACTCTTCAGTTTTTAGATGCCTCATTTCAATGTAACAGTATCCTAAATCAATAATTAATTTCATGTTAACCCTATGATGGTGGACCACTACAGCAAGCTAAAGCTCTATCTCCTGAATGTGCCAAGAGGGAGATAGAAACCCCGGTTTACACATTTCAAAATAAAGTGCAAGCAATTGCTTTTTTTTTTTTTTGCAGGCATTTGTCGTCTATTAACAGCTTGAAGCTTTTATTTTGAAGGTGAATCTTAGCTTTTCCAGTGTTGTTTAGCTGAAAGGTCCTAGCTTCTTTTATAAGAAAGTTATCAACCGTTAGCAGTTAATAACCAGTGAAATTATCGATAATATATCAGGTATATTTTCTATTGATATTGAACACGTGTGTATCGCGATATATATTGATATTGAATTATTCCTCAGCATTAGTTTTTATTATATAATTTAATTTTATTATGTTTACATGTACCTTAAAATGCATCTGAGTTGGCTATTAAGCTTAAGGTTCAAATTCAAGTTTCATTTGTTATTTTATTTTGCAGTGAGAATGTTTTATAATAAAATAGAGAAACTGGATAACGAGATGACATTCATAGGTGCAAGCAGGTGAGATGAGGTGCAGTGGAGCTGGAACAGGAGGTACACCCACAGGAAGCATGGATGATTGTTGTGACAGAAATAATCATTGACTAATCGACTAATAGAAAAAATAATTGCAAATTAGTTGACTATCAAAATAGTCATTAGTTATAGCCCTAATCTATATTTACTTCTGTAAACAACGAGCTGAATGTGACATCACATATCTTTTGTGCGTGTGAGTCTCATCAATGCCATGGAGAGTTCACACTGGAGTTTGATGAAGGTTGCATTTAAAGTATAATGTGAATGTTGATGCAAAGAAATCAAATTTGAGTAAAAAATCCAAATTGAGCATTAAGGCCTTCAGTGTAAACATGGCCTAAGTGTTGTCTGAAAGCAACATAGGTGATATTTTTATTTGTGTTATATTTTATCATTTACTTTTTGGAACGAAGCTGGTTTTCTAGTTGTAAGCTGGGGATATGTTTTCAGGAGACTGTAATAGAGGAGGAGGAGCCTCTGGTGACGAGACCAGAAGCTGAATCTGTGGCTGAACCTGGACCTTCTGCTGACGCTGATCCTGTTGCTGAACTTTTAATTGAAGCTGAACCAGCAGCTGAAGTTGAACTTGCAGCTAAAGCTGAACCTGTACCTGTACAAGACATGGAGACAGACGTCTCTCTCCGTCTGTGCACTGGGCCTGGCTGCTTGAAACCAGCACTGACAGATTCTGTTTATTGTGGCACTGACTGCATCCTTCAGCATGCTGCAGCCACCATGAAGACTCTCTCTGGCCCTCGAATGCCGAAGTCCAAAGGAAGGGCACAGAAAAAGCCTGCAGCACCCAGAAACACTGCAAAAGTAAGCACACACACAAAGACTATCAACACTAAAGTGTGTAGCTGATGTAGTGTTTGTTAGTTCGGCATTTGTAGTTTGTAGAAAATTCATTATAAATATCTTTTGTCTGACATGTTAAAACATTTTCAATCTCAGGCTCAAATTTCTGTTCGGACATCCAAGAGATTGGCAGAAAAAGCTTCAGATGCCAATGAAGAGGAGATGTTGGAGGAGAATGAGGGGGAGCAGGAGGTGGCTGCTTCCCCTGTAGCCTGCGACCCCAGTCTCACAGATGTTCAGTCCACCACATCACCATCTAAGTCAAACACCAAGTGTATGTACCATTCAATACTCGTACACAAGCTAGTAGTTTATACATCTTGCACAAAGCACTTCCTCTGACCAAAGGTTAGCTCTCCCCTTTTGATCTCAACACTGCATAAAGCAAATATACAAAATCACACACACACACACACACACACACACGTGACGGGAACATACATTTTCTTTCTGGGAAGACTGAAAAGTTGCAGGGGTCAGCAGTGGGTAAGTATCCTGATTTTCACAATTCCCCTTTTGGATCTCAAATGTTCAGATTGTTCTGCTTTAACCATCGTTACGTATTGGGTCTTAATACTAATCGAAGACACTAACAGAACACACAAACCAGTGTCACCTGGGAACTCAACAGCAATATACATTTGCATTTTCTAAAATCCTTATTTACCATGCTTTAATCTTTCTTTTCTATCGATTTTGCAAACTCTTAAGTTTCTGAATTGAAACCGCACACATTTGTCAAAAAATTAACCTTAAAATAACAACACTGTCTTTATTGTAGGAACATGCTTTACTTCTTTACGTGCGAATCAGGCTTTTAGATGGTATAGCACATGTTTGCTTCCACATATGCTTTTCTTACTAAAAACAAGTAAAAAAAAGCCAATTTTCAACATGATTGTGTTTCCATTTTAAGTATATAGTTTTTAAAAGTTACTCATTTGAACTTATTCTTAATCAGACACTAATGAGAGAGAGGAAAAAAAAATCCAACAATTTTAGCCAGGTTTTTTCATGGACGCCAGTAAAAAACATGAAATACATTCCACTGTTTTTTACGACGGAGTGTTTGGGCCACACAACGGGATTTTTAAAATTATTACGAGATTAAAGTCATAATTTTATGAGAATAAATTCATAATATTACAAGATTAAAGTCATAATTTTACGAGATGTGCGTGTCCATTTTCTGTTCCTCCTTTCCTCCTTATTTTCCTCACTTTCTGTGTACAGCCATGTGTCTGTGTTACAAAGTAGTCCACGATGACTTGGGTCACTGTTAGATTAATATGCTTTCATTCAAATTAGCTATGTGATGACTAAATCTGTCAATGCATCCATTAATTGCAATACAGCTTCAGTTTATAGTCGTTTGTACAATTTCCAAGTCCTGCTACTGATAATTTGATGATATTGTGCTAAAAGATTAACTATTTATAGCAATACTAAAGAACAACTTGACAAGTTGCTCAACATTCCTCATTTTAATGCTGTGGTAATTGCATGCTTTTTCATGTAAAGGCTAGAATATTGACGTTTTTTCTCATAATATTATGACTTTAATCTCGTAATGTTACGACTTTAATCTCATAATGTTACGACTTTATTCTCGTAATATTACGACTTTATTTTTATACGACTTTAATGTCGTAATATTATGACTTTATTCTCGTAAATACAATTTTTAAAAAAAAAATCTTGTGCGGCCCTTATATTCTGTCGTAGTTAATAGTAAAATTTGTAAAAAACGTGAATGTTCATAATAATTTAATGAAAAGGTTTATTTATACTGACTTGGTCTTATAAAAAATACTTTTCTGTATGCATTACATTTTGTATATTTTATCAGCAAGTTTTAACTA